GAATTGACACAGTTTGCATCAGGATTGATATGCTCTTTGTAAAGGGATTCTCTGTCTTTTATTGAGGTGCTCTCATTGTTTCATGCTCCTTACAAATTATGTAAGCATTGACTACATAGAATAAATTTTATTACGTCAGTCCACAAACATTTTGATAACCTTAATTGTAGATTATAACACTTAATTTTTGCAAGATAGATATTTACTCTTTATAAACAAGACATTATTTTCACATATTTTGATTCCTGTTATTGGTTCATAAATATCTTTAACATAAATATACTCAAAAATAAAATTTTTGTGAGCAAACCATCTTGCTCATTTTTACAGGAAAATAAAGTTCCCACAGATTTAAGAAATTTCTTAGATAAAAATTTCATTAAATTAAAGTACATGTAAAAGGGGTTTTAAGAGACACTAAAAATTACTTTAATAAAACGTAAATTACACCTTAAACCAGGATCAATGATCACTGAAGGAAAAAATGTTTTTGTAACATATCATCTCTTATACACATGCATCCTTTACCACATGTATCTTTGTCCTGACGTCATTACTTATAACCTAAATTAAAAATCAACATATCTCTGTAATCATTTATTATATGGTTTTATATTAAATAGAGGCTTGTAGGCAACATAAAATCTCAACATATATTTGACTCCATGATTTCATACATTAGCTGGCAAATTGTTTTTTTTTTCATGGGTGTCTGTATGTCAATTATTGTGTCCCTTGATTAGGCCAGTCATGACTTTGGAAGGTTTGACTGAAATGCTATCAAACTAAAAGGGCAGTTGGGATGATATATCAATTTTAGTCCATACCAAGTTTTTTTTCTATGTTCAGCGTCTGCGGATGAAATGGCTAAACATTATGAAATTAAAAACCAACAATTCTAAAATCCAGAAATACAAATTTTTGAAAAATTATTTACTCTTTAGGGATCAGAATCTCTCTCTTTTTTTTAAAAGTGGTGTACCACAATTTTTTTTTGTTTAAATGTAAACCAGTCGTTTATCTTATTCAAAATGTGAGGAGAATTTTGTTTATGATAGAAATTCTAGATTTGTGCTTAAATTAAAATGTTGCATTTTCCCCCCTTTTGGTTTGTGTGTGTTTTTTTCTGGATAGAAAGATAGGTTTTTGAATTTAGGGTGGATGGTTAACTTCATTCTTAATTTAGTTTAGCAAAATCATAAACACTTCTGGCCTGCTTAATCTTTCAGGTACTATAGTGACGAGGTTTTTCACAGAACTGTGGGAGTGGATCACAGGATTTTCAATGAATAAAAACAATGGAAATTTAAAGTTAAATAATTATTAACATTGTCAGCAAATACAATTCATCATTAAGTCAAATGCTGACGGATGATTTTCATACTAATTGTTAGTCCATTATTTATACACTGAATTGACGACATATTTTTTCTGTTATTTCCCGTTCATGACATAGAGCACACAGCAGATGTGACCGGTTGACAGGGGTGCTCACTCCTCCATGGCACCTGATCCCACCTCTGATGTTCTGTAGGTCCGCGTTTGCTCTGCTCCTATTTTGTACTGTTTTATTGACTTTGATATAGAATACTGTTCGTTATAATCTCCATATCCTTCATCACTGAATGAAATAGTTCAAATGCAAGTAATACATGTACATTCACCAGAAAACACAAAATGCTAATTAATACAGCTAAAAATGATAAATTTATTTTAACTATAATAAATGTTTATTTTAAATATAATAAATATAATTTGTTTAGACTAAACAAATAAAGAATGAATGCTGGCAAAATATCAAATCACATCAGCAGAACTGAATTTTATCAATGAAACTCATAAGATCTTCTTTTCAGTTGTAAATTTTATATCTTGGGTATTTATTTCACTGTTTTCGGGGTTGGGGGTGGGTGGGGGTGATCTTGAAAAGAGACATGTTAATTAATCGTCATTTCATCATTTTGTATTAAGTATGAAGGTATAGCAATTTGAAGATTTTTATGATATGAAGGTCAAGTCAGTTTATGCATTTTGCATAAACAATAAATAAACATGCATATTGCAAATTCGCTATTATGGATAGCAGAAGCTACCACAAGAAAGATGCTTGAAGCAGAGCTTATTATTATCATTTTTATTATTTTGACACAGGGAGAAACATGGCAGAAAACACGTGGGAATAAATAGTTTATTTACAATCTTATATGTATTACCATGTGTACAAGAAAGTATTATAATACTAAAGTATTAAAATACTTGCATTATACTACAAATCTCATCGTGTATACATGTACCGGCCTTTAAAGGTATGACAATAATTATTATATGTAAATTAAAATATAATGTAAAACATATTTTACTTACCTTTCTTACAATTCCAGAACATGATAAAGATCCATTGGACAACTGCTACAAGTAATCCAATTACAATGCTAACCACCAAAGCAATTTCACCTAAAAGAAAGCAAAACTAGAACTGTCGAAAAGGGACAAATACTGTAAACTTTACATTTGGCTGTGTATTCATTTAGGGCTTTTGGCAGAAAGAAAGTTCCACTAATTTAAGTACAATGTTGAATGTTTTGCAAATACACAGAAATAAGAACATCAAGATATATCTGCTAAATCAAATCTACGCTAACTTGTTCAAAAATCAATTTCTGCCAAATATCATACAAGCTAAATATAATAGTTACAGTAACCCCTACCCCCCTGGGTTTCTTTTCAGAGAAAGTACCAAATTACTAATGTTTTCTGGATCTAAAAGGTGTTCACAATTTATTTAAACATTTAGACTGAAAATATATAATTACTGGTACTCATTATATTTTTTTATGAATAAAAACTAGAAATACCCTAAAACCTTGAAAGTAAGACGGATTTGATAATAAGCCAGTTTTGAAAATAAGCCGCCTATTTCTTGCATTGAAAATTACTCGAAAATAAGCCAGTTTTGAAAATAGGCCGGTCATGACAATGCCATTTAGGAAAGATTTGACAATTTCCTTCGATCTCTTAAAAATTTGGCGAGTAAAAACTTTGACGATTTTTTTTACTGTGCAAAAAATCAGTCATCTATCTTTAATTCATTGAACCTTTACCAATTTCTGTATACGACATTGTATGAACGAGTATGAGTATTGACGGTGTAAAGATGAATAATGACCCCCATCGAATAATGACCGGGGGTCATTATTCGACAGCGAAAAATGACGGTGAAGAAAAATGACCCCCGTAGAAAAATGACTCCCTGTTGATTAAAGCTGAAATTTTTAGGGGGCAAAAAAAAAAATTGGATAAAGAAGCATATTGGCCAAAATGCTCACCCGAGCTTATTTGGAATAAATTGATATGTTGATCTCATAACATACGATTATAGCTATATTTTAAGGTCAATGCGATGATTCAGAATCTAAAGAAGTAAAGATTTATCGAGCCTTAAGGGCTAGGTAAACATTGTTTTTCGATGGTGGGAATCATCGTACTGACAGAAAATATTAACAGTATCATATATTATTTTATCCTCTGCTTGAAAAGTGGGAGGGTATATAGTGATTGGGATGTCTGTCTGTCTGTTACGCTTTGGGGTATCCATCTGTTATCCGCAACTCCTCTTATATATAAAAAGATGTATTTGTAAAACAGCTATGCCCCTGTATGGCAACATAGCGAAGATTAAACTTTTCTTAAAGGCAATTTAAATATAATGGTACCCAAAGTAGGGTCTTCTCACAAGAAATACAATGGCAAAATAGGAAAGCCCTAGCACCACTTGTTCAAAATTAATGGCTAAGGATAAGTGTTTGAAAGGAAGGTCAAACTCAAAGGTCAAAGGGTCAAAGTTGATGGTTTCTTAAGATAGGTTTAATGTAACAAGGATTACATTTATTAAATTTTGTGAAGTATGAGAGTACTAGTATCTACTGTTTAAAAGTTATAGCCAAAGCAAATTAATTAAAAATTAGGCATTTTTGTGAAAAATGGGACAAACTCCAAAGTAAAGGTAAAAAGGTCAAATCTTGTGGTACCCAAAGTAAGGCCTTGTCACAAGGAATGTACACATATTGAATTTGAAAGACATAGCTACAATAAATGAAAAGTTATGGTAAAGGTTAAAGTTTTTGCGGAGAAACAGACATACAGACCGACACGATAAAACTATATACCCCCGAATCTTCGATTACAGGGACATAAAAAGAAATGGTCTTCAATTAACTTTTCATATTATGATACAGCATAAAGAAGATGTTACAAAAATGAAAATGTTTGTTCTGATTTTCATATATAAATTCTCTGAAAAATATACCCAGAACTAATAAAAATCGTGGAGTAAAACAAGAAATAAGAAATGTAATGAATACTGTGTGCTAAATCAAAAGGTTATGTCTACATGTATAATTTTTGGATTAGAATGTGTATTTTACACTAGTCCATAGTTTTACAGAGCATATTTTTAGGTGTTATACCCACCCCACCCCCTTACTTATTTAGGAGGAAGTTGATTATCAACAAAAGCAACAAAAAAAACTACCCTACCTTTATTTTTCTATAAGGAGGGACTAAAAATAAGCTTAAAATAATCTACTATTCTACTAATTTTAACTGTTACTCAGCCACAATACTTTCAAGTATACCCCCACCAACATTTAAAGTATACTTTAATCATGGCAAAGTAAATTATGATATGATTGAACTTGTGTGTAAAGGCTTAACTTCATTTCAATATTTATCTAGAGCCTCTTTCAGTATTATTGAAAAGTATAGAGTTTTATTTATATTTTTGCTTTTCATTTATTTTTTGTTTGTTTTGATTAAACTTTTTTTTTTTGGGGGGGGGGGGGGGGGGGGGTTAAAAATTTCCTCCTCTTTCATTGTCAAACAGGATTTGCCAAACTTATACAAGCTAAAAGTTGAAATGAAATTAATTTTTCTATTAAAGAGTATTGGAACACGATTGTTGCATCCCATATCAAAAAATAATACAGAAAAGTATATTTTTAATATACTTTTAATACATTCATTTCTGTACTTTCTTAAAATAATACAGAAAAAATATATTATTTTCCTATCACAAAAAAATGGGTATATTATTTTTGTATTAAAATCTGACTTTGATATTTTGCAGTGTATTATTTTTGTATTTTTTTGAACTTAGATTATTTTCTGTGTATTATTTTTGTATTTTTAAGGACTTAGTTTTTTCCAACTGTATTTTTTCTGTATCAATTTTGAACTTAGTAATTTTACAGTAAAATCTCTACAGCTAGAGTGTATCATATTTGTATTAAATTTGGACTTAGTAATTTGACAGAAAGTTTGACTGTATTATTTTTATATTAAATTTGGACTTTTTAATTTTACAGAATTTGTCTGTATTATTTTTATATTAAATTTGGACTTTGCAACTTTTCAGAAAAGTCCCTACATTTAGACTATATTATTTTTGTATTAAATTTGGACTTGGTAATTTTACAGGAAGATGGTCAGTATTTTTTTTTTATTTTGTATCAAATTTGATTTTATTACATTTACAGAAAATTCCATAGTTAGTCTGTATATTTTGTTTGTTTTCTTTTTTTTCTTTGGGGAGGGGGGGTTTAGGTTAAATTAATATTGTATTTATGAACTTTATAAATTTTAGAGAAATTCCTTGCAAATATTCTGCTGGTTTTGGATACCGGTACTAGTTTGTAGCATTTTAGAACATTTCTTTTTTTTATTTATTTATTTATTTAAAAAGTATCTTGGTATCCAAATCGAACTTAAAAATTAATTGGTACTAAAATTTTTGTTAATTCCATTCAGTTATATCAATGGTAATCTAAAGAAATGTCTCCATATTCAGCTGATTAAGTTGAAGATTTTACAGAGGGTTTACATTTTTACAGCGGGTTTACATCCAATCTCGTGCAGCAGGTGGCCTTGCAGGCTAAGAAATGATTGCATCATACTACAATGTAGAAATCACGTGATTTACCTGTGCACATGGAAAGTCCCAACTATCAGTATTTCTGTACATACGATGTTTCTTCAGATTTGAGATATTTTGCAGTAATGAATGACAATTATATTTTAAATTAGCCTTAATGAATTTTTTGAAACGGTCTTACAATGTACAAGAGTAGAAAGTGTTGTGAAATCAGTAGATTTACTACCGTAATTGGCTGAAGCCAATGTTGTGTACACGTGCGCTTGTCACTTGATGATTATCTCTCCACACCCCTTCAGACAATTAAATTGTGTACCGACTCCAAAACATTGTTTTTACAGTAATGGGGCTAATTATTTGCTGTTCTTTTAATTGCTTGAATTATTTTCTTTCTTAAAAATCGGGGATCAGTTTAGAATCTTTCGTATTGTGTTGATTATGACACATTGAACACTTGTTAAGTGTAATTTTACCTTATCTTATACTTATCGGCCTCTTGTTTAAATAATTGAGAGCCGGTTAACAAATGAAATACTAAGTATGTTAAAACAATATCACAATAACTTTGCTGAAATAAAATTAACTTAAGTAAATGGCGACGTACTATATCAAAATCTGTGTATTCTACAAAAAAAAAAATAAAAATAATTAACTCTTCTTCGCAACATTATCATGATTATCTTACGTAATTAATACAGTGCATTTAGGATTATTTACTGAAGACATACATGGCTGATGCCTAGTTCTATTTTGGATAATTTCTGAAAATGCTTGTAATAAATAACTGACGATTTCTATTTCACCGCGACTGTAAAGCTGCAAATATGTTTGTATATTCCCCGCGTTATATGATCCTAATTGTTGAACTTTATGGTCTATTTCACAGGTCAACTTGAATAATTATAAAAAGAAGAAAAAAACAAACAAACAAACAATATGGCCGACCGGAAATCTCTCTGTTTGTAATCGGAAAATTACGTAGGAACAAAAATGTTATGATTTGAAGAAATGATTCCTAATAATTATTCCTATTGTTTAAAGGATTCTGTACTATTTTTAGACTTCGTAAATACATCTTTTTAAACTGTTTAAAATATTTTCTATTTAAAAATCGGAAATCTTCGTAAATATCGAACAATTTGATTGGTCAGAATTTAAATTTTTTCTTAGCTTTTCTCTGATTGGCTAACGGAAATTACCCACGCCATTTTGAAAAATAGATTGACGAGCCATGCTAAGAGAGTTGTTGATGTTTTGAATAAATTAGTGAATATTCGCCGGTAAAATGGATTGAAAAATAGATGCTTAACTTCAGCATGTAAGGATGGATCAGAAAAAAGCGAAAACAGGAGGAGGTTGGCGTTTTTCAAGCACAATGTCCTGGCTTTCCTGGTGTAAACAACGCCACATGCGGTAAGACTAAGAGTTTACACAAAACATCACGGTGGTTTTACTTTTTTAAAAGTGCAATGTAGATTAATAAAGGTATAAGCTTTAATAACCAAATTATAGTAGGTCAAAATAA